CACTTCAGCATGAAATCGATCTTCTCCCAGGATGGTGTTTCCCGTCGCGCTTTTCCCCGCACCGGTTCTTCCCAGCAGAACCAGACGCAGTTCATCTGGCACTGGATTCACTGCGAGCGGATCGCTGGAACCAGAACCCGATAGAGAGCTCTGAGTGGGTCTCTTCCTCGCTTTTGAGTTTCTGCTCTGAACATCTGCTCCTGAGGAACAAGCGATCATGTCAAATGAAAGAATCAAGCAAAATAACAGTCCTGCATCTTGAAAATAATTTTAATGACAAAAATAAGCATTCAAAATGCATAATTTAACGTACGAGTGGATAAGGCATAAAGTAATGTGTAAAGTAGTATAGTTCTACGTTTCCCTGCGTCTTGTTTGCTCGGTTTCTGTTTGTCATCTTGTTGTCTTGGTTACTATTTTGTTCATTAATTAATTCCACCTGTGTCTTGTGTGTATTCGGCTTGTTATTATCCTGTGTGTTTATAGCCCTGTGTTTGCTTTCGCTTTCGTCCAGTGTTGTCTATGTAAAGGTGCTTTCTTTTCTCCTGTGCACCTTGTTTTATTTCATTTAGTTTGTGTTTGATCACTGCAATTAGATCCTCTGCTTGCAACTGAACAAAGAGCTGGAACCTGGCTCCAATTCAGACAGGAATCATGTGTTTGAGGTGTGTTTTTTCTGTTACGTAAAGGAGAATATGAGACTAATTCACCGTACAAATGGTTGTAAAAGCAAAAATGCAACAAAATGCATCATATTTAGTGAGAAAGTGTGACATGAGAGCAAAACAGACACTATTTTTGAAATAAGCAGATCAAAAGTAATTAAAAAAACTAGACTTATTCTTATCAAGGCTTTTTCAAATATAATAACACACCTGTTTAAATTTCTATAATCGTTATGAATAAATGATGCTTAATTACCTTCGTTGGACATGTTTGCTGGTTGAGTTTCTCAGTGTGTGTGGTTGTCGTGTGTTTCTAGATGGACTGGTTTATGATGGGCAGGACTTACAGAAACGAAACTCAACTCAAATATTGATGCATCAGACCTCTGCTGCTCGCAAAATGATGTCCAGTGGCTGTATAAAAATGCATTTATATTCATTTATAAACATGTTTAATGTAAGATATGCACATTGGTTTATTTATAACAAAGTACCAGTTTTTTCCTTTAAGTCCACTACATCCACTAGAGGGACACAGTGAGCCTGTTTCAGAGATGAACTGACATCACTGATTATTTGTGTACAGGTCTGATTATTTACATATTTTCTATCATATGCGAAATGTGCAGGCCTGTTGCATGCATTTATTTGTTTACAGATTCACTGTATTTTTATGGCTGCAATAAAAACTAAAGTCACATAAAAACAACACGGTTTACACTAAGTAATATCTAGCCTGTATTATCTTCACTGAAAGGTAGAAAAAAAGTTATGAGAAATGTCTGTTCAAGAGAAGGAAGGACATTTTAGCCATTTATGGACAAGAATCGATGTGTGATGTCATGGAAATTATTTGTAAGGAGAGTTTGAGGAAACTGGAAATGGATGGAAAACAGAGGCGCCTCAAGAAAGAAAGTTTGAAAAGGTTTTAAAAGCTTGAAGTTTTAAGTAGTTTGAAATTTAAAATAGTTTTAAAGATTAAAGTTTGAATGTTTTAAAGGCAATACAGTCTATCAGAAAAACAAAAAGACAGAAAAACAGATTGCTATAGGGCTGGGGTGGTTGCTAGGGTGTTGCTATGAGGTTGCTAGGGTACTCAAGGTGGTTCCTAGGGTGCTTCTAGGGTACCTGGGGTGGTTGCTAAGGTATTGCTATGTGATTGCTAGGGCACTTGGCATGGTCGCTAGGGTGTTGCTTTGCAGTTGCTAAGGTACCCGGGATGATTGCTAGGGTGCTGCTATGTGGTTGCTAGGGTATTCAGGGTGGTTGTTGCTATGCGGTTGCTAAGGTACCCAGGGTGGTTGCTATGCACTTGCTAGGGTGCCTGGGGGTGATTGTTAGGTTGCTAGGGTATCTGAGGTGGTTGCTAAGGTGTTGCTATGTGGTTGCTAGGTACCCAGGGCGGGGTCTGGGGTACCCAGAGTAGTTGCTAGGGTGTTGTTATGCAGTTGCTAACATACTCGGGCTGGTTGCTATACAGCCACTAATCATGTTAGGAGCATGATTTAGCACAAAAGCAGTTAAAAACAGCTAAAAACCAGTAGCACATTGTCAAACCAAGAAAACTGTTGGTACAGCAACATCATTTTAATTGCATTGAATCAGATCATAGAAACAACTATGAAACACAAAGCTTGAAGTGCAATTTCAAAGTTCAGGTCAATAAAATAAATGTTTTTGGGAAAAGTGCTGGTTAAAGTCAGTAAAACAGCAATTTAGGTCTTAAAACTGACACACAAAACACCTAAATACTCCATTTAGTGCAATTTAAAACAACTTCAAAAACCTTACAGTTTAAGCTCGTTTACATAAATAAGTTGCATTAAATACAGTCATCTTTCCTTCAGTGCCTCTCAGCGAATTCAGTAACAGTGCTTCTTTTTAAAACTCTTTTCTTCACGAATGGACTTATTTTATGTGTTATTTAACTTAAGTTTTAAATAAATCACTTTTAAGACATTTGGACACAATAAATACACATTAAAACAATGATACCATGATCGGTTTAAACTAAAATAACTTTGGCGATGACAGGAGCAGCAGTGCTTTGTTTGATGGGAAATGTTCCCTAAAACACTTTGTTCCTGTAAACATTGTAAAAGAAAGCTATGACTAGCATTCTTGTCTAGCGATGTGCGTGTGGATGTGTTGGCGGTCAGTGCGTTAGTGTCTTCTTGTTTCGCAGCTTATGCGGGAGACCATGGTGGAGACGAGTTTCTCCATCTGCTGCGCTCTCAGCTCGCCCGTCTGCAGAACCTCCTCGTGATTGGCTTTCTTCTCGCTGTCGTAATCCATCACCGTCTGATTGGTGATCAGAGACAGAGCCACGACCCTCATCCCACAGTGACGCGCCACGATCACCTCGTGAACCGTGCTCATGCCTTGACACACAGACACAGACACACACACAGACAGACAGACAGACAGACACAGACACAGACACACACAGACAGACAGACACAGACACACACAGACAGACAGACACAGACACACACAGACAGACAGACACAGACACACACAGACAGACAGACACAGACACACACAGACAGACAGACACAGACACACACAGACAGACAGACACAGACACACACAGACAGACAGACACAGACACACACAGACAGACAGACAGACACAGACACAGACAGACAGACACAGACACAGACAGACACACACAGACACAGACAGACACACACAGACACAGACAGACACAGACACACACAGACAGACACAGACAGACACAGACACAGACACGTTAATTCATTTTCTCCCTCTGTAACGGTCACTCAAAGAAATTAAAAATATATTGTAATAAATATAAGAAATAAATTCTAAATAAGCTCAAATCAGCATCACAGCTGACCCTACACACGTTATTTTTTTTAAATTCTATTTTTATTACATTTTGCTATACTGTCCAAAGGATCAACACAAAATGCAGAACAACTGCAACTTTCCCACCTGAACATACACAATAATAATAATAATAATAATAATAAATTATATATTATTTATTTTATATATACACACGCTATATAAAAATTATATATTAATATTAATTATCCTATTTTTTCAAATCTATTTTAATTAAATTTGGTTATACTATCCAAATATAATAAAAATATATATATATTAATATAAGTCTGTTATAATCAGTGTCTGTTATTGTTATTGTATCTGTTCATAATAAAACACACCCTTTCTCAGTGCATGTTCCAGCAGAATAGATTGATCACGTCAGTGGAAAAGGTTATTACTTTAATGATGATCTATAAGAACAAACATCCTCTGTTTCTCTAGAATAACATGCACTGCTGAATCGGTCAGAATAGATCAGGATCATGCGTTACATCTACTAGCATGTTGCTGCTACCATGATTAACAAGTGACTAGCATGTTGCTAGCATGATTAGCAAGTAACTAACATGTTGCTACCATAACTAGCAAGTGACAAGCATGTCATTAGCATGATTAGCAAGTTACTAGCATGTCACTAACATGTTCCTAGCATGATTAACATGTTACTAACATGTTGCTAGCATGATTAGCATGCTACTAGCATGTTGCTAGCATTATTACAAAGTGACTAGCATGTTTCTAGCATGATTAACAAGTCACTAGCATGTCGCTAACATTTTTCTAGCATGATTAGCATGTCACTAGCAGGTTGCTACTATGATTAGCATGTCACTAGCATGTTGCTATCATGATTAGCCAGTAACTAGCATGTTGCTAGCATGATTAACATTTTATTAGCATGTTGCTAGCATGATTAGCATGCTACTAGCATGATTAGCAAGTGACTAGCATTTTCTTGCATAATTAGCAAGTTACTAGCATGTTGCTAACATGTTTCTAGCATGATTAGCATTTTACTAACATGCTGTTAGCATGATTAGCATGCTACTAGCATGTTGTTAATATTATTAGCAAGTGATTAGCATGTTACTAGCATGATTAGAAAGTTACTAGCATGTTGCTAGCATGATTAGCAAGTGACTAGCATGTTTCTAGCATGATTAACATGTTACTAGCATGTTGCTAAAATGATTAGCATTCTACTAGCATGTTGTTAGTATGTTTCTAACATGATTAGCATTTTGCTAGGCTAGATAGATAGATAGATAGATAAAGAAATATTAGATAAGACAAGTTTGAATGAGTTTAAATAGATTAGAAATCGTACATAGAAGGGAAGCTTAATGGAGTCAAATGGGCTTCAATTAGTTTACATTTGAATTTTGACAGCTGGAGTTTGAATAGTCTCGGCTCATCTGAACATTCCATCAATGTAAATCTATGGGACTTTTATGATTTTTAATCTTCAATTTTATGAAAACCATGAGTCGGATCAGTCTGAAAAGATACAGCAACCCGAGTCAGATCAGTCTGAAGAGCTGGGCTGAGTTTGGTGCTTCTAGCTGGAAATCTCTAGGAGGAGTAGCGTTCAGAAATGTAGTGTAAGAATAATAATTTCTCGAGCCACCCTAATGAATCACACTGGCTCTGACTCACCCACGGCGTCGGCTCCGAGGAAGCGCAGCATTTTGCATTCGGCGACGGTCTCGAAGGACGGGCCGGCCAAGGCGCTGTACACACCGTCCTGCATGAACGCAGAGTAATCCAGCTCCGCTGCGACCGCATGAGCCAGCTGCTGCAGATCACGGTCATACGCATCCGACATACACGGAAAGCGCTCGCCGAACCTGCCAGAGACATCAACACGCATAATATTTTTACACGCATTTTTATTCGTCTTTTTCTACACAGCTTTAATTAATTTTTATTTTAGTTTTACTTTGTAATTTTGTTAGGCGCTTTTATAATTTTATTTTATTTTTTAAATATGCTATATAGCTTTAATGATTTTTTTTATTTCAGTTTAAGTTTTAGTAATTTAAGCACTTCAGCTTATTTAATTCAGTTGCCAAGGCAACATTTCTAAATTTTAAGTTTTGTTCTTTCATCTAATATTTATACTTTATTTCAGCTTTATTTCAATCACCAAAAATGTTAGATTTTTATTAGTTTTAGTTAATTACAGCACTGCTCCCAATCAAGCTTTGATAATTTTGTCATGTGCTTTTGTGTATACATATATAGCTTGAATTAATTTTAATTTCAGTTTCTGTTTTAGTAATTTTTTGTACTTAAACTCATTTATTTAATTTAGTTGCCAATGCAACATTTCTAAATTTTGTTTAAGTTTTATAAGGTCTTTTAATCAAATATTGATATTTTATTTTAGCTTTATTTCAATGATTTTTAATAGTTTTAGTTAACAATTACCACACTACTCACAATCATGTTTGAGTAATTTGTCATGTGCTTTGCCATTGTTATTAGGGTTTTTTTATGTTCCACCTGTGCAGTGTAATGAATTAATGGAATCAGATAATCATAGTGCTGGGCGGTATACCGGTTCATACCGAATACTGGTGTTTATTTTTGTTATATGAATATAACTTATATATATATATATATTTATATTTATATGAATACCGGTGTATGTCGCTTAAACAAGGTTGGGAACGCGCCACTGTTTGAAAGGCGTCTCTTTTCACTGCTGCACTGTGGTGAGGGAACAGCTGTATGTGTTACTAAGCGTGAAAGCTCAGAAACTGAAGCTGTAGAACTAATAGAACGTGATGACACAGAAGAACTCCTCCACAATATCCACACTGACC